ATCCTAGCTACTTAGAGAGGCTGAGATATGAGAAGAGAGATTCAAAGCCATAGCAGACAGAGTCTCATGGAGGTGATTAAGGCTAGAGAGACTCAAGCTAGAAGAAGAAAGTGGTGAATTCCGTCTAGAGGTATCAAGTTCAGCTCATCTCTTACAGTTCAAAAGGCCTTGTCAGCTGGAGTGGAGTCAGCTGGATGTGAGGACTGCTGCTCACAAGAGCAGGTTGGGTGAGATACAGATAAAGAAGCTGGCAACATTTAAACGGCATTGAGCTGAAGGAGATGTGTAGAGCCTGAAGGGTTGGAAGGGTGAGGCCCATGGAGATGAGGATAGGGAAAGCCACAGGGCCTCTGTGGGAAAAGATGTGGGAGCCAGACATGATGGTGCTGGCCTGTAATCCCAGCATTAGGGAAGCGGAGGTAAGACAGTTTGAGTTGGACGCCAACCTGAGCTACAGAGTGATTTTGAGGCCAGCCTTGAGACCCTGTCTCAAAAAAAAAAAAAAGTATGGCTTGAGAGATGATGGAAAACCAAGAGTAGGTTGTTCCTTAAAACTCAAGGGCAGGGGCTGGGATGTAGCTCAGTGGCAAAGCGCTTGCCTAGCAAGCGCAACGTCCTGGGTTCGATCCCCAGTACCAAAAAAGAAAAAGACAAAAAAAATACAGTTAAAAAAACCCAAACAAAAAACTCAAGGGCAGGAAGGACTTAAAGGAAGAGGAAGGGAGACACCAAGTCCAAAGCTTTATTGAGATTACGCAGGATAAAGTCTAAACATTGGACACTGGGTTGATTCAGCAATAGGGAGGTCTCTGGTGACCTTGTGTGGACCAATCAGGAGAAGGGTGAGTACAGTAGTTGGGACAGGATGGGAAGAGGAATAGTAGGTGTGGTAAGGAAACTGAGGTAGACCATTCTTCCAGAAACTTGGCTCAAAAAGGAAAAAGAACAATGGAGTGAGGAGTTGCAGAGGGAGACACAGGGTGCACAGAAATATTTCTTTTTTATATTTATTTACTCATGTGTGTATGTGTGTGTGTCTGTCTGTCTGTTTTTGTGTCTCTGTGTATGTTACATAAGATCAAACCCAAGGCTAAGCAAACACTTTACCACTGATATATACCCCTTTGTAATCATTTGGTTAAGTCTAACTTTATACTAGATGAAATATAATACAGAAAATAACTCAGGACAGTAAGGCATACCTATAGTTCCAGTTAATCAGGAGGCTGAGGTAGGAAGATTGTTTTATTTTACTTTTTGTTGGTCATGGGGCTTGAATTCTGGACCTGGGTGCTGTCCCTCAGCTCTTCATCTCAAGGCTAGCGCTCTACCACTTGAGCCACAGTGACATTTCTGGCTTTTTCTGCTTATGTGGTGCTGAAGAATCAAACCTAGGGCCTCATGCATGCAAGGCAAGCACTCTACCACTGAGGCACCCTCCCAGCCCAGGAAGATTGTTTTAGACCAAGAGTTTACTACTAGCTTGAGTAACATAGCCAGACTCCATTGAAACACACACTCTCTCTCTCTCCAGATACTGTGTATGTGTGTACATATATATACATATATAGACATATCACACACACACACACACACACACACATCCATCCTAAATAGAAATCAGAGTAGGACTGGGCACTAGTGGCCTGTAATCCTAACTACTCAGGAGGCCGAGTTCTCAGGAGCACGGTTCGAAATCAGCCCAGGCAGGAAAAGTCTGTAAGTTTATTTCCAATAAACTACTCAAAAAAAGCTGAAGTGGCGCTGTGGCTCAAGTACTAGAGCATTAGCCTTGAGCAAAATAAGCTCAGGGATAGTGCCAAGGCCCAGAGCTCAAGCCCCAGGACTAGAAAAAAAATCAGAGTAAGAAACAGAACACTGCCAGACTTTAGAAGACTCCTCTTGGGGCTGGGAATATGGCTTAGTGGTAGAGTGCTTGCCTGGCATGCACAAAGCCCTGCATTCGATTCCTCAGTACCACATAAACAGAAAAAGCTGGAAGTGGCGCTGTGGCTCCAGTGGTAGAGGGTAGCCTTGAGCAAAATGAAGCTCAGGGACAACGCCCAGACCCTGAGTTCAAGCCTCAGGATTTGCCAAAAAAAAAAAAAAAGAAGAACCACCCTCATCCCCTCTTCCATATTGTTACACATATTATTTTTCTTTCTTGTTATATAATAATTGTCATTTATTGATATTTACATATTTTTCATTTTCTTCTGTGTGTGTGTGTGTGTGTGTGTGTGTGTGTGTGTGTGTGTGTGTGCTACTGAGGTTTGAACTCAAGGCCTCAGTTCTGCCTCTTAGCTTTTTCATTCACACCTGGTACTCTACCACTTTTTTGGTGGTTAATTAGAGATAGGAGTCTCACATAATTTCCTGCCCAGGCTGGCTTCAAATCACCATCCTCAGATCTCAGCTTCCTGAGTAGCTATGATTGTAGGCATGAGTCACACCATTGCCAGGCCACTTCTGGCTTTTCCTAGTTAATTGGAGATAAAAGTCTCATAGACTTTCCTTCCCAGACTGGCTTTGAACCTCATTCCTCATATCTGAGCATCCTGAGTAGTTAGAATTACAGGCAAAAGCCATTGGGACCTGGCTGTTTTTCACTTTTTTTATTTATTTTAATTTTAATTTGTTTATTTAGCCAGTCCTGGGGCTTGAACTAAAGGCCTGGGCACTGTCCCTGAGCTTCTTTGGCTCAAGGCTAGTACTCTATCACTTGAACCACAGCGACACTTCCAGCTTTTTTCTGTTTATGTGGTTTATGAGGAATTGAACCCAGGGTTTCATATATGCTAGGCAAGCACTCTACCACTAAACCACATTCCGAGCCCCTTGTTTTTTCATTTTTTTATATGAGTGATGAGGTTTTTGGTAATTCATGGAAAAAATCTGAAACATCCATCTTCTTTGAGATGGGATTTTTTTTTCCAGATGGGAAGTGAGAATCTGGCTGAGATTGAGAGTTGTTCTGTAGTTCTTACCATGCTACACCATACCAAGAATGCCTCTGGCAGCTTCCTCTAGTCTGTGTGCAGGTGCAACGAAGACAAGGGTAGAGTTGCCAGGGGGTTCTGCGGGGTAGGAGAGAGGTGCAGAGTGCTGAGGATGCTAGCAGCAAGCAAGGGATGGAAAGGCAGCTGTGGATGCAGACTTGGAGGAGGGTGTGCTGGGAAGGTAGAGAACAGAAAGTAGGAGGGAGCTGGCAGTAAGAAAGCAAAGCAGAGGCGGACTGTGAGTTCCACACAGGGTGGTGTCTGTGAAATTCCATGCTCTATCTCCACTGACTGGCACATGCTTGTTGACAAGCTGTCATTCAGTGAATAGTTGAATAAATGAGCTGAGGGTTTAAGGGACTAAGTGTCTCATGTAAAAAGCAGGTAAGATGGGAGTGATGGAGAGAGCCTGAAGCTTGTGGGTACTGTGGGTGCAGCTTAAAAATGGGGCATTATAGAGCAGGTGATAAGGCCAGGGCATTGAAGGTCTCTGAAAGAAGCAATCCATGGGAATGTGTAAGTCACCAATGAGTGCAAGTTACCCAGTCTTCAGAGTAAGGGTGGATACTATTCCTCAAACCGGAGTCCTTAGCCTTCTTGCAGCTGCATCTGTAGGGGGCGCTAGTGGGTTTGTTGCACAGGCTGACCGCTGGGCTTGAGAAAGAAAGCACAGTGTGGCAGAATTGAGCCTCAAGGGGGCTATTTGTAGAGCATTACCTTCTTTAAGGTAATGGGGATCAATATTCAAGAGATGGGGTGCCTAGGGAATCCTGAACATTTTGGTCTCTCTCCATGTTGGAGATGGACAAGGGATATTCAAGGAAGAGAGAGAGAGAGAGTGTGTGTGTGAGTGTAAAGAGTTGTCACAGAAATATTGAAAATTCAGGACTGGAGGTGCTATAGGAAGATGTGTTATGTGAGGATGAGACTCGGCCTTAGGATGCATCTTCTGTTAGAAAGGAGGCCCCTGGCAAGTCCCTGGGACCTGATCCTTTTCCCTGGGACTAGGTGGAGGGGAATACCCAGACTGAGCACCCATTTTGGGAGTATAAGAATGTGAACCAGGGCTGGGAAGGTGGCTCAGTGGTAGAGCGCTTGCCTTGCATGCATGACGCCCTGGGTTCAATTCCTCAGCACCACATAAGCCAAAAGAAAAAAGCCGGAAGTGGCGCCATGGCTCAAGTGGTAGAGCGCTAGCCTTGAGCTGAAGAGCTGAGGGACAGCGCCCAGGCCTAGAGTTCAGGCCCCATGACCGGACCCAAAAAAAAAAAAAAAAAAAAGAATGTGAACCAGGTGCTGGTGGCTCACACCTGTAGTCCTAGCTACTCAAGAGGCTAAGATCTGTGGATAGTTTGAAGCTAGCCCCGGTAGAATCGTCCACGAGACTCTTACCTCCAATAAACCACTCCAGAAAGGCCAGAAGTGGTGCTGTGGCACTAAGTTCAAGCCCTGGGATGGGCAAAAAAGAACAGAAAACAGAGTGAGTGTGGTACTGGGGCTGTGTGAATCTCTACACCCAGTTCCGTCTCTGCATAGCTTTTAGCACAGCAATACATAATATGCCCAATTCTCTACTCTCTTGTTGACACAGTTCCCCCACTTCGAGCACCCCAGGTTCACCCCTCTATACCTCAGCTATGTCCAGCCTTCTCTCGGCCCTTCCCCACAGCCACGCAGAGCTCCTTACTCGCACTGTGCCCCACAGCTCGCTCGTTCTATCCCTCCTTATTCATGCCCGTGTTCAACTCTCTCACTTGCACTTCTTGACCCAGCCACCTTCCGTCTCCTCCTGGAAAGGAACCTCTAGTCACCCTGGGGAAGCCAGGCAGGCCGAGATCTGATGCCCCCCTAGTCCGAGGACCGGTCCTGCCCCATCCTGGCGGGCTGAGTCAGGAGGCAGGAACTGGGCGGGGGGAGGCGCCGAGAGCAGCCGAAGCTCGGGCCAGAGAGGCAGGGAGCGCGCGCGCGGAGCCCGGCGGGGCCGACACCCACCAAGCGGCCCGGGCGGCGGGGACGCGGGGGGCCCGGCGCGGCCAGGCGCGGTCGAGGACCTACCATGAACTCCAAGAAGAGAGGTAGGACTCGGCTCGGGGCTGTGAAGGCTCCGGGACTGCCACCGGAGTGCAGTCCAGATTCTGGGGACCAAGAGGGCGTTTTCGCCAAAGCGAGTGCGTAGTAGTGGTAGGGGGCCCACCAAGGACCCCCCTCCCTCCGAAGGATTAGGGGTATAGGGGTGAAGGCGTGCGTCCGTGACTCAGTTTCCAGATCGGAGCCACGGGAAGTGGAGGAGGCGGGCCCTTCTCGGCACAGCCCCGCACCCTGGGAATCCCCGGCTCCCCGCAGGGAGGGCTCCAGCGTCGCGGCGCCGGGGAGCTGGGGGAAGGGGGGACGGTTGGGGGGGATCTGGGGGTGCAGTTTTCGCAGAGTCGACTGTTTGCGGGAGCCAAGCCCGCGCCGGCCAGGCCTGTCCAGCAACTCTTTCTGGGATCCGAATGCGCGCCCCGCCCCGTGACCTCCCGCAGCCTCTCGGGGTGGGAGCGCCCGAGTTTCTCGTCCACTTTGGAGGGGGGCGGGGGACAGGCCAGGGGTTGGGCTGGGGAGGCCGCCCCGCCCCCGGGTAAACAGGCGCTTCCGCACATTCTTCGCGCGCCCCGCCCCTTTCCTGCCCCTTCCAGCCGGTGGAGGGTCCACGCGACCCCCCCCTTTCCTGCCCTGCGGCAGGCGGAGCCCGCACCTCGCCAGGAAGTGGGGGCCGAGCCGAGGCCACGCTGAGTCCCAGGCCGAGTCGCCTCCGGCTGCCCTGTCATTAACGCCAGGGCCGACCAGGCTAAGAGTAGTGAAGCTGGAGCCCACTGGGGCAGTTGTTTCTAGGGACGGGATCTGGGACCCGGCCTCGGGGGAGGGACCTGGGACCCGGCCGCGGGGAGGGGGCCTCAGGGACCCGACTGGACACACACCCCGCCACCCCCAGGGAGCCCCGCGCGGACTCATTCCATGATGTCCCTGTCGGTGCGGCCACAGCGCCGCCTGCTCAGCGCCCGGGTCAGTAGGAGCCAGTCCTTCGCAGGCGTCCTCGGCAGCCACGAGCGCGGGCCCAGGTACGCGGTGGAGGGGGGTTAAGGGGGTTGAGAGAGTCAGATGGGGTCGGGAGTGGGTGTGTAGTGAGGGTTTGGGGGACTCTTGTTTGCCCCTTTCTAAAGACAGCTTATTTTTTATTTCAGGACCTCTAGGGTCTTCAGCCCACCAGGGCCCCCACGGAAGACCCTAACACTCTCTCGAGTGTCCAGGATGTTCTCTGTGGCTCATGCGGCCCCCAAAGTCCCACAGCCTGAGCGGCTGGATCTGGTGTATGCTGCTCTTAAGCGAGGCCTGACGTAAGCAACTCCTTCCCAGCAACAATCTCCCTACTCCTAACCTTGCCCCATACCCGAAAGCTGACGTAGTAGGAAGCTGAGGACAGCCTGTCTGTAAACGAACTTTTGTCACCTCTTCCCAGAGCCTACTTGGAAGTGCACCAGCAGGAGCAGGAGAAACTCCAGGGGCAGATAAAGGAGTCCAAGAGGAATTCCCGCTTGGTGAGTCGTAGTAGGGGTGCCCCTTGCCTTTGGGATGTCGGGGCTTGGCAGGGCCAGCCCTGCATGACAGTGAGGCTGTTTTCTGGGTGACTAGGTCCAGATGTGTGTAGAAAGGTAGTATAAGGAAAGGCTGGTTGAGGATGTTTCTATCCCCATTCTTTCCATTCTGCCTGGTCAATTGGTCATGGGACTTCAATTCAGCGCCTGGGCTCTGTCCCTGAGCTTTTTCCCTAGTGCTCTACTATTTTGAGCCACAGCACCATTCCAGATTTCTGGTGGTTAATTGGAGATAAGACTTTCCTGCCTGGTCTGGCTTTGAACCACCATCCTCAGATCTCAGCCTCCTGAATACCTAGGATTACAGACATGAGCCACCAGCTAGGGAGGCACACTTTCTGCTTAAGACCCAGTATCTGCTCACAGATGCTTCAAGTGTGTGGAGTGGGAGAGGAGGGTGTTAGACCTAGAGATGACAGCACATTATATTACAATGGTACTGAAGAGAGTCACAGTTTTTCATGGAAAAAGAAGTCAGGGATTAACAGAGGAGGAAACCTTTTTTTGCTGTCTTGAAGGATGGGTCTGGGTGGGCAAGTAATCTGGGTAAGGTCTTCCACATACCTCCTAAGTACCCCTTTTTATCTCCCCCGTAGGGTTTCTTGTATGACCTGGACAAGGTAAATGTTTATTGAATGGAGATGGAAGGGGTTGGCTCCTGGGGAGGGAAAAGGGCCTTGGGCCTCAGGCCCCTCCTGACTCACCTCTCCCCCAGCAAGTCAAGTCCATTGAACGCTTCCTGAGACGATTGGAGTTCCATGCCAGCAAGGTACTTGTGCAGCATGCAATCGGAGTGGGATGGAGGTTTGGACAGTTTAGGAAAATGAGGTTTCTAGGCCAAGTGAGAACCTCATGTCACCTTGCCAGATCGATGAATTGTATGAGGCATACTGTGTCCAGCGGCGTCTCCGCGATGGTGCCTACAACATGGTTCGAGCCTATAGCACTGGGTCCCCAGGAAGCAGAGAGGCCCGGGACAGCCTGGCTGAGGCCACTCGGGGGCATCGAGAATATACAGAGGTGAGAGATGAATGGTGCTCAGGTAGAGATACGGGGTGTGGCAGGGCTGGTGAGTGAGCATTGGTTCTTTATTCATTCCTTTCCCTACTCCTCCTTCTCAGAGCATGTGTCTGCTGGAGAGTGAGCTAGAGGCACAGCTGGGAGAGTTTCATCTCCGGATGAAAGGTACCAAGTTGTGGAGACTACTGGGAGGTAAGAAGGAATTATGTTCTAGCTCCCCAACATGGCTCATCTACTTCTCCCCCTACTTGCAGGGCTAGCTGGCTTTGCAAGGCTGTGTGTCGGTGATCAGTATGAGGTATGAGGATGTACATGGGAGGGCTGAAATGGAAGGGTTGTAACCCCAAGGGCTGACTCATCCTATTTCCCCAGATCTGCATGAAATATGGCCGTCAGCGCTGGAAACTGCGAGGCCGTATTGAGAGTAGTGGAAAACAGGTTTGGGACAGCGAAGAAACCATCTTTCTTCCTCTGCTCACAGAATTCCTGTCCATTAAGGTGATATATGTGTCCAGGTCCCTAAGATACCTTGGTCCTGTAAACCCCATGAACCCCTGTGACCCTCTTGACCCTGAGACTTTTATTCCTGTGATCTCCCTTCGTGGCTCTATGATTTCCTCATGAAATTTGAGGCTTCAAGAACAACCGTTGTAATTCCTATACTTCAAGGCCTCCTGACTGTGATTTCCATATAATCTTATGACCCTATGAATATTTGATGCCCCCCAGGAGCCATGACTCCCATAACCTCAATGACCCACCAACTTGGACCTCTATGATCCTCATGTTCCCAAATGGCTTTAAGCCTTCATAGTCTCATATCCCTGTAATCTCTGTGAAGATTCAGGCCTCAATTGCTCATAGCCCTTGCACCGTTATGATCCTATCATGTACTCTTTTCTACAGGTGACAGAACTGAAGGGCCTGGCCAACCATGTAGTTGTGGGAAGTGTCTCCTGTGAAACCAAGGACCTGTTTGCTGCCCTGCCTCAGGTTGTGGCTGTGGACATCAACGACCTTGGCACCATCAAGCTCAGCCTAGAAGTCATATGGAGGTTGGTGGGCTTAAGGGTTAGGGGCAGGGCCAGGAAGATTATGGCATAGCTAACAGCCTATTTACTCCTTAGCCCCTTTGATAAGGATGACCAGCCCTCAGCTGCCTCAACTGTCAACAAAGCTTCCAATGTTACCAAGCGCTTCTCTACCTACAGCCAGAGCCCACCAGACACCCCTTCGCTTCGGGAACAGGCCTTTTATGTGAGAATCATAACCCAGGCCCAGACCTTTCTATCTCCTAGAGGCTTTTCAAAGGTAATCCTGAAATGCCCTTCCCTCTTTCTCAGAACATGCTTCGGCGGCAGGAGGATCTGGAAAATGGGACAGCATGGTCTTTGTCATCTGAATCTTCAGACGACTCATCCAGTCCACAGCTCTCAGGCACTGCCCGCCACTCATCAATCCCGAGGCCTCTGGTGCAGCAGCCTGAGCCCCTGCCCATTCAAGTTGCCTTCCGCAAGCCTGAGAAGCCCCGTTCTGGGCCCGTGGATGAGGAGGGAGCTGTGGCTCCAGCCTTGGCCAATGGGCATGCTCCCTACAGTCGGACCTTGAGCCACATCAGTGAGGCCAGTGTTGATGCTGCCTTGGCTGAGGCTTCAGTGGAAGCTACGGGCTCAGAGAGCCTGGTCCCAAGACCTAGCCTGCCTATATGCCCAAATCCCACCCATGGGGAGCACCCTACTAATACTCCACCTGCTCGAGACACTTGCCATTCTGCCACAAGCCTCACCCTCAACACACCCAGTCCTGCCCCCACATCTATGGACCATGCACCATCTGCACATCCTGACTCAGTTGATAAGACCACAAACTCTGGCCCTTCTGGGCCGGGAAGCCCAAACACCACTATAAGCTCCACCCATAGTGCCATAAGCCCTGTTAACAGTATTCAAAACCTCACTTCCATTACTAGAGGTTCTGTACACAAGCCTGTGCTTTCTACCCTCACTACTATAAGCCCTATCTCTGATACTACAGGCCAATCCCAGCTCATCACAAGCCCTACCTACACTATACCAAGCCTCACACATACCACCACAAATATCACCCATACTACTGCAAGTCCCACCCATGCTACCCTAAACTGTACCCATACCACTATATGCCCCACCCACACTACTCCAAGACCCACCCATACCACTGCAAACCTCACACCTACAACTTCCACCCATACCACTGCAAGCCCAACTCCTACAAACCCCACTCATACCACTGCAAGCACCACTCCTACAAGCCCTACCCATACCACTGTAAGCCCCACTCCCGCAAGCCCCACCCACAAAGCAAGAATGTCAACTAACGCAAGTCCTACCCCCAATGCTATGAACCAAGTCCAAACCACCCCAAGTCCCACTCTTACAACTGTAAGCCCTTCCTCCTCTCCGGACCTTGAGGTGTTCTCCAGTCCCTCTGGAGATGTCACACTCCCCATCACCAAACCCCTGCCCTGCAACAACCCAGCCTTGGCTCCTTGTATTCAGGCAGACCCTGTAGTACCCAGTACCTCCTTCCAGAGTCATGCCTGTTCTGACTGGAAACCCCTCACAAACCCTGACCCAGACCCTCCAGAGCCCAACCTTAAGAGTTTAAGCCCTCCTCACTCACCCGTAGCCTCTGCACCCCAACATTCAGAACTTAATTTGGCCACAGCTACTCAAGTTCCAGCCCCAGTAACAACTGGAGGAGCTGGAGACAGGAGGCTGGAGGAAGCCCTGGGCACCCTAATGTCTGCCCTGGACGACTATCGTGGCCAGTTTCCTGAGCTCCAGGGCCTGGAGCAAGAGGTCACTCGGCTGGAGAGTCTGCTCATGGTGAGGAAGGTTAGGCTGGTCTGGGTGGCCTGGGAGGATGACCAGCTAGTGGCAGCAGCTCTTGACTCCCTTCCCAATTCTAGCAGAAACAAGGCATGACTCGCAGCCGGGCCTCCAGTCTCAGCATCACTGTGGAGCATGCTTTGGAGAGCTTCAGCTTCCTCAACGAAGATGAGGATGAAGACAAGGATGGGCCAGGGGACAGGTAAGGGGACTAGGCGAGACTGGAAGCCAGTTGAGGGGGAAGAGATAATAAAGGGCAAGAGGTGAGGCATTGCCAGGCAGAGGAAATGCAGGTGAGTTGGGAGAAAGGCAAGATGGGGTGAGGTGGAGCCAGGGAGGAGGGCACATGAAGATGGATTTGCTGGCATGTCTGTGTACACTCCTCCCGTGTATACCTCATGTGTCCTTCATGCCGGTGTCTCCCATACCATCTGTCCCTAGTGCTTCTGGCCGCCCTGCTCCTCGTCTCTGCAATATCTGCCTCCCCCACCGGTCCCCATCAACTCATGTGCCTTCCACCCCTCCTCTTTCCTTTGGCCTCACCCGGGACCTACCCTATGAAGAAGCTCCTCCAGTGCCGCCTCAGGCACCCCGCATCTCTCAGCATCACCCCCGACTATCCCAGAGACCCCGGTGTCTCAGGTCCCAGAGTGGCCATTTTCAATTGCTATTTGAAAGTCGTGCCCGATCCCTCCTTCCTCGACTGCCTCCCAGGTTACATTCTCATGCTCTGCGTTCCTTTCAGTCTACATTTTGTAAACCATCCCCCCTGCAACCCTACTCTCACCCATCCCAGCCCCAGCATCCCCTGCAATCCTAGCTGGTGTGGCACAGGGAAGACTGATTAAAGACCCCTCTACCCCTGCTGGTCACACCCCTCCCTCCTGGAAGTCTTCTGTGAACTTACCCACTGTCTGATGTCTGTGCATGTGTATTCTTCCATTTGGGGATAGGAGGAGCTTAATAAAAATAAACTCTGGTGACCAGATGGTAATGTGTGCTTCTAGTGTGGTTGACTCCGTTTTTCTCTCAGGCCCCCAAGCAATCCAGAGGCTAGGACTGAGGACAGCCTAGACTCACCCAGTGCTCACCACCTCAGCACAGGGTGTCCAGCTCTGGATGCTACTTTGGTTCAACATCTGTACCACTGCAGTCGCCTCCTGCTGGTGAGGCTAGTGGTATTTCCCCCTCCCTTCCCTTTTATCCCCTTGCCCCAGAGAACCCTGCACTCCAATCCTGGCTTTCTATACCCTAGTACTCCATTGCCATGACATCTAGGTCTTGCTGAATGAATACCTCCTGCTCTCTGCCTACCCTCAGCCTCTCCCAATGCATGCTGGATCTTAGATCTTATAGTCCCTGGTTTCTGTCCTTCCTAAGTCCTACCTTGAATCCTGTTCTACTTGGCCACTCTTGTTCTCCAGAAACTCGGCACATTTGGGCCCTTGCGCTGCCAGGAAGCATGGGCCCTAGAACGGCTACTACGGGAAGCCCATGTACTTGAGGCAGTGTGCAAGCTCAGCAGGCTATGGGAGACCCCTGTCATTTCCTCCCAGGAAGGTAAAGGACACAGGCTCAGGCTCTGATGTTGTCTACCTGAGACTTCTGCCTTACTTCATTCTACCTATCTATCCACCTGTCTGCTCCCTGCCTGCCTGCTGGGTTGCGCACAGTTTCTCTCATCCCCTCACAGTGGTGCAGTTCTCAGCCTCTCGTCCTGGCTTCCTGACCTTCTGGGATCAGTGTTCAGAGGGACTCAACCCCTTCATCTGTCCAGTGGAGCGGGTGCTCCTCACCTTCTGCAGCCAGTATGGAGCCCGTCTCTCTCTGCGTCAGCCAGGCTTGGCTGAGGCTGGTAAGTGGTTTCCTTACCTGCCCTTCCATCTTCTCTCAGCTTCTCAGCAATAGGGACCTTGGAAAGGCCAAGCACTGAGGAGAAACTGACTTGAAGACACATTTCTAGATTGGTAGGATGTAGACAGGGAACCCCTGGACCCGAGCCTGGGACAGAAGCACTGTCTTCCAACTGGAAGTCTGGGTCTATCCCAACTCAAGCTATGGCACCATCTTCTACAGTATGTGTAAAGTTCCTGGAGGATGCCCTGGGGCAGAAACTGCCCAGGAGGCCCCAACCAGGCCCTGGGGAACAGCTCACCATTTTCCAGTTCTGGAGTTATTTTGAAGCCTTGGACAGCCCTTCTATGGAGGCCTACGTGACAGAGACTGCTGAGGAAGGTGAGACAGTGGCCCTGACCACAGTTACTTGGCCCTGAGGGTATGGATGAGGACATGAGGATAAGGCCTCTAAACCCAATGAACCTCCTCGCTTTTCATCTTGGCCCAGTCCTTAACTTTGCTCCCTTCTTTCAGTGTTGCTGGTGAGGAATCTGAACTCTGATGACCAGGCTGTTGTGCTGAAGGCCCTGAGGTTGGCACCCGAGGGGCGGCTGCGAAAGGATGGACTTCGGGCCCTCAGCTCCCTGCTTGTCCATGGCAACAACAAGGTCATGGCTGCTGTCAGTACACAGCTCCGAAGCTTGTCACTGGGCCCTGTCTTCCGGGAAAGGGTGAGAGGCAGGCGAGGCTCTCTTGAGGGTGAAGGTTGTGGTCCTGGGCTCTCAATGGCTGGCTAAGACTGCTCTCCTGCCCTTGTCCAGGCCCTGCTGTGTTTCCTAGACCAGCTTGAGGATGAAGATGTGCAGACTCGAGTGGCTGGATGCCTGGCTCTGGGCTGCATCAAGGTGATACTTGCCAACCCACTTACCCTCTCCCTCCCCTGCTGGCATCCATCCTGAGGCCCTTCCCGCCTATTCCACTGAGCCCACTTCACTGTTCTCTTTCTTGATAGGCTCCTGAGGGCATTGAACCCCTGGTGTACCTGTGCCAAACAGACACAGAAGCTGTAAGAGAAGCTGCCCGGCAAAGTCTGCAGCAGTGTGGTGAGTCAGGCATGGGGGAAATAATGGCTCAAGTGGATTCTGGGACATCCTGGCTGACAGAAGTAGGATGCATTGAGTCTAAGAATAGAAGGATGGAGCCAGGGCCATGACTGACCCCATACCCATGCATTACAGGGGAAGAAGGACAGTCTGCCCATCGACGGCTGGAGGAATCACTGGATGCCCTACCCCGCATATTTGGGCCCAGCAGCATGGCCAGCACTGCATTCTGAACTCTACTCACTGGCTCCCAGAGCCCCTTCTTACCACTTTCAGGGCTCACCAGGCACTGGCGGGAGGGTGAGGGCCGGCTCCAGACACCCCTCCCCACAGATTCCTATCAATGAAAATCTAATATATTCTTCTGTTACCCCTGGGGTTGGTAGAGTCAGTGCCTGCAGTCAAGTGCCTCTCAGCCTCGACTCAGCACATCCCTCGCTACAAAGTGTCTGGGGCCTGGCCACCTTGCCTCTGCCTCACCACTTCCCTTGGTTTTGTATTTTATTTACAGAGTTTTACAGAAAATAAAAAGCAAAATGCCTTTCCTACACAGCCTGCTCCACTCCCTCTGCTCCAACACCCTCTGGCATGCCCTTCCTGGCACTGGTGTGTCCACACTTCCAGCTGTGACAACAGTATGTGCATCTGTCCTGGAAACCTTAGTGGAGCAAAGCCCAGAAAGGACTTGGAGAAAACAGAGGAAAGAGAGAGGACATTGCTGAGCAGGGTCAGCTAGCATCTGGGCCTGGGACCTACAACCCTTGGGTGCGTCAACTGTACAGCTGGCCCAGAGAAGGCCCTAAAGGGTGCTAATTTTGGACTGGCTATGGCCATGGAGCAGAAAGCAAACAGTATCTTATGGCTGAGTTTGTGACTAGGAGAGAAAAACAAACAAACAAAAAAACCTATACAGAGCTGGGCGCTGGTGGCTCACGGCTGTAATCCTAGCTACTCAGGAGGCTGAGATCTGAGGATTGCGGTTCAAAGCCAGCCCGGGCAGGAGAGACTGTGAGACTCCTATCTCCAATAAACCACCAGAAAACCGGAAGTGGCGCTGTAGCTCAAGTGGTAGAGCGCTCACCTTGAGCTGAAGAGCTGAGGGACAGCGCCCAGGCCCAGAGTTCAAGCCCCACGACCGGCAAAAAAAAACAACAAAAACCTATGCAGAATAGTGTGGCTGGTTTCTGGCCACAAGAGGGCAGCAGAATTGCATAACCGGATATCAGACTTATGGGTGTTCCTTCCACCCTGGCAGTTTCCTTCAGGGAAGGCTGAAGGAACTCCTTCTGGAAGCTGGGGATCAAGGGAGAGATCCTTGCAGAGGGGAGGAGCTGGGGCTTGGGAGGCAGGAGACCAGGATAGCTGCTCTGTGACCTCCTCCCTGAGGTGCTTCGCTGGAATAACAAACCTGCTGAACCCTGTGGTGCCCAACGGACACCAAAACCGTTGCTTCAGAAGGCAGGGTTCCCAGAATATGGCTCCCCTCCCTCAGAGCTGCCTGGAATCTGATTTGTTAACCCAGGAGGTAAAGAGTCAAAGTGGGAAGAACAAGAGAGTGGGTCTGATTGCAGGATGGCAGGCTTATTCTAAGAAGGGCCTGAGGAAGGGCCATACCCTTGGCTAGAGAAACAGACTGCCTTTCCCCTCTCCCAACAAAATGTCCATGATCCTACAGGCAGGCAGGACCTTGCTTACTCTCTGAGTCTACTCTGGTGTCCCAGGACCTGTGGTAGTAGCACAGCAGTGGGACAGCAAGTACACCGAGGTGTCACAGGGAGTGCATGTGTACCTGTACTCAGGAAGAGTTAACGAGGTGCCAACTGTCCCAGGGGATAGGGATAACCCAAATCTCTGTGGAGCCCTATCCCCCTAGTGCTTTAAGGCTGTGTAAAGAGGTTTGGCTAGTGCGTTAACCACCTGCTGGGGAAGCCACACTGAGCAGAAGAAAAACAAAATAAACGACCAAAAAAAAAAAAAACCACAGCAACAGGAAAGCACACAGGAAACACCTGTGAGTAGATGCAGGTGGCTCTCTACAGACATGGGGTAGTGACAGGCAGACAGCCATCACGTTGACCTAACTTTGTGCTCCCCCCCTTTTTTTTTGTTAGTCGTAGGGCTTGAACTCTGGGCCTGGGCACTGTCCCTCAGCTCTTCAGCTCAAAGTGAGCACTCTACCACCTAAGCCACAGTACCACTTCCAGTTTTCTGGTGGTTAATTGGAGATGAGTCTCACGGACTTTCTTTGCCCAGGCTGGCTTTGAACTGAAATCCTCAGATCTCAGTCTCCTGAGTAGCTAGGATTACAGGTGTGAGCCACTGGCACCCGGCTCTTAACTATGAAGGGCAACTTAGGCAGGACTGACTGTGCAGCTCAGCTCAGCTTTTTGGATGGTTACCTGGGATGGCATGGAGTAGATTAAGGCAATCAAATGGTAGAAACCAAGCCAGCACCCAAATCTGGCCACAGCTTGGGCCTTGTCCATGGGCTCTTGCAAGAAAGTTGCAATTCCAGAACCACCACTAGGTGCCCCTCAGAAACTGAATCTTGTGGACAAGAGGCCTACTGATAGCCCAGGTGGTGGAAAAAGAGGAAGTGGACATTGGTGTTGACCAGGTCTTGGGAAAGTACAGATGGGGTGAATGGGCCAGCACATACTCATAGCTCAATCCACAGGATAGGGCAGGGCTTGGGCGAAAAAATGGAAAAATGTCATTATCCCAGACAGGGTTCACTGGAGCCATCACTGAAGATCCGTGCTCTCTAGTGCTGAAAAGGAACAGAATTCCTGTCTTCTACAAATAGGGTGCTAAAGCCAGAGCCTAGTATTCAGCTCTAGCACAGCCAGGTGAAGAACTAGCATACTTAGTACAACAAAAGAGAGAGAGAGACCTTTCTCTGTGAGTTGGCCTACTTTGCCCAGGGACCCTGTCAGATGGTAGAGGGCAGGGAGAATCCTTTTATAACTACACCTCTCTCCAGAGGTCTCTCTCACAGGGCAAAGCTGCCCCACAACTCTACCTCCTGCCCTGCTGGTATACAGGTTGGGTAGTTACCTGTTCCTGTTGCCTTGACAGGAACCAGTTGCCCAGGTGACAGAAGACAGATACTATTATCAGAAGTAAAGGTACCCAAGTAAAAAAAAGTCTGTGCCCAGTTGTCCCGTGAAGCCCGTGCCTGCCTTGGTGAAGGGACAGATGGAAGCAGGCCTCTAAGGTCTATGATATTGAGAAGTGCCCTATCATTGGCATCCATTGAAGCCACAGCTATGCGTTAGTCATCATCTTCAGGGCTTTGCCTGAAGGAAACTGAAATGTACATACTGTTAAAAAAAAAAAAAAAAGCCAGGCCAATGTGGTCCAGGATACAATTTATTGTTGGTTGCTGGAGCTTCCTTCAGTTTCCCTTCTCTTGCCCTCTTCCAATCTTACCTTTCCTCTTAATTCTCATTCTTCTTCCTCATGTTTTCAAAGCTGTAGAGAACCTAAAAAAAAGAAAAAAAAAGAAAAAAAAGACATGTTTGTAAAGGCAAAGAAGCAGATGGGCTGGCACACAAGGAGAGGACTGCTTCTTTGTCTCGCCCACACAGCGGGGGTGCCTTCCTTGTGTGTTTCTGTGCCTGGTGTGTGGGTACAATTTGCTGAACCCCAGCCATGTATATGAATGTGACTTTCATCTGTACCCCCAGCTTTAAAATGTCCTATTGAGATCATTCATAATGACACTTGAGCCATGCCCCCTACCCTTTTCAACTTTAGGTTTTTTGTTTTTTTTCCAGAGAGGGTTTTGTGGTTTTGCCAGGGGCCAGCCTCAGACCAAGATCCTCCTACCTACACCTCCCAACTAGACATGAAATGTCCCATCATGTCCAGCTTGTTGAGTGTGTGACAGAGAGAGAGAGAGAGAGATTCATAGTCTTAAAGAGTCTCATAGACTTTACTGCTGGGCTGACTTTGAATGTGATTCTCAGATCTCAGCCTCTTGAGTAGCTAGGATTATGGGGGTAAGACACTGGTGCCTGGCTCTTACTAACTTTTTGCCTGGTCTGGCCTTGAACCATACTTCTTATGATATCTACCTCTCAAGTAGCTGAGATTACAGGTATGTACTTCTATGACTGGGCATTTTAAACAGCCCTATTGAGAGTTCACATATTAAACAACTCAACCATTTGAAAGTACATAATTATGGGCTAGGAATGTGGCTTAGTGGTAGTGTGCTTGCCTAGCATGCATGAAGTCCTGTGTTCAATTCCTCAGTACCACATAAACAGAAAAAGCCAGAAATGGTACCATGGCTCAAGTGATAGAGTGCTACCCTTAAGCAAAAGAAGTTCAGAGACAGGGCCCAGGCCCTGAGTTCAAGCCCTAGGACTGGCAAAAAAAAAAAAAGGTATAATTAGTTGTATGCTGGTGGTGCATACCTATAATCCCAGCTACTCAAAAAGCTGAGTGAGATCTAAAGATATCTTTTCAAAGCCAGCCCAGACAGAAAATTTGTGAAACACCTCTTTTTTGTGTGTGTGTCTTTTCTTTTTTGATACTGGGGATTGAACCTCAGGATGTTGTACTTGCTAGGCAAGTGCTTTGCTACTGAGCTAAATCCCAGCCCTGTGAGACTCTTTTATTTCCAATTAACCACCAGAAGACCAGAAGTAGAACTGTGGCTTAAAGCAGTAGAGTGCTAGCCTTGAGCAAAAGAGCTTAGGGACAATGCCCAGGCCCTAAGTTCAAGCCCCATTACAACAAAAAAAGGTGCATAATTAAGATCTATGCATTCATATCCAACACTCAGGATGTTGAGGGAGGAGGATTGTGAGTTCAAGGCCAGTCCAAGCTAACAGCCATACCCTGTTTCAAAAATCCAAGGGCTGTGGAGCTGTGGGGTCTGGTCAAGTGGTAAATTCAGTCTAGAAGAATTGAGATCCTAAGTGCAAACCCAAGTACCACCAAAAACAAATAAAAAACAAAACAAGAGTTGGGGATGTAGTTGTACAGTGCTTGCTTAGCAGGTACGAAGCCCTGGATTCGATCACTAGCATGGCAAATAAATAAATAAAATTGAATGGCTTTTAACATATTCATAAAGTTGTATAGCTATCACTACAATTTTGGCATATTTTCATCAATGGAAAAAATTGCATTGAAATCCCTTTGCACATCTAAAGTTAATACAAAAATTTAATAAAGTAAGATTAATATAAAATGAAATTGCATCTCTTAGATATTATTCCCAAGGCCCTTGCATTTTCCTCCACCATATTCCCAGTCCCAGACAACTACTAATCTATTTTCTGTCTCTGTGATTTGCCTATTGTGGATAGTTCTTACACATAAAATCAGGTTAGGTCTTTCCAATTTACCTAGTTCTAAGGATCACCTCAGAACTTCCCTAGTGGTTCAAATTCAGTGCATCTGGCATAGGGCCAGACAGCATTTGATCAGACAGCATCTCTCTCTCTCATTTTTTCCCCCCATGTTGAAGACAAGGTCTCCCTAAGTAGCTCAGACTGTCCTTGAACATTTTATCCTCCCATCCCCTGAGTGCTG